TAACTAATTCCCTTAAAATTAACTAATTTCCTTAAATTTCACTAAATTTCACTAAAATTCCCTTAAAATTAACTAATTCCCTAAAATTCCCTTAAAATTAACTAATTCCCTAAAATTCCGTTAAAATTAACTAATTCCCTTAAAATTAACTAGTTTACTTAAATTTCACTAAAGTTCACTAAAATTCCCTTAAAATTAACTAATTCCCTAAAATTAACTAATTCCCTTAAATTTCACTAAATTTCACTAAAATTTCCTTAAAATTAACTAATTCCCTAAAATTCCCTTAAAATTAACTAATTCCCTTAAAATTAACTAATCTCCTTAAATTTCACTAAATTTCCCTAAAATTCCCTTAATTAACTAATTCCCTAAAATTCCCTTAAAATTAACTAATTCCCTTAAAATTAACTAGTTTCCTTGAATTTCACTAAAATTCACTAAAATTCCCTTAAAATTAACTAATTCCCTAAAATTAACTAATTCCCTTAAATTTGACTAAATTTCACTAAAATTTCCTTAAAATTAACTAATTCCCTAAAATTCCCTTAAAATTAACTAATTCCCTTAAAACTAACTAATTTCCTTAAAATTCACTAAATTTCCCTAAAATTCCCTTAAAATTAACTAATTCCATAAAAATCCCTTAAAATTAACTAATTCCCTTAAAATTAACTAGTTTCCTTAAATTTCACTAAAATTCACTAAAATTTCCTTAAAATTAACTAATTCCCTAAAATTAACTAATTCCCTTAAATTTCACTAAAATTCACTAAAATTTCCTTAAAATTAACTAATTCACTAAAATTCCCTTAAAATTAACTAATTCCCTTAAAATTAACTAATTTCCTTAAATTTCACTAAAATTCACTAAAATTCCCTTAAAATTAACTAATTCCCTAAAATTCCCTTAAAATTAACTAATTCCCTTAAAATTAACTAATTGCCAAAAATTTCACTAAAATTCACTAAAATTCACCAAAATTCCCTTAAAATTAACTAACGTCCAATAATTAATATTATTAAACTATAAACATGCACAATACGTTAATGGCATTAATTTAATCCACAATACTAAAATTATCAACATCTTAATCTTATTAATAATGCACATTTAACAATTTACTAAATTAAATAATATGAGCAAATCCAATAATTTGAGCATATATATATATAATAAACACATTTAAATTAAATTAACTAACCCTAATTTAAATCATTATTAATCCTAAATTAGGCCGCCTTAATTAACAATAATTGCCAATATAAAGAAATCATATACTTATATTTAATCACACACACACACACACACACACACACACACACATATATATATATATATATATATATATATAAAGTCATTTGAATTAAATAATACTTACATTTAACTAATATTAATAATATGCATTTAAATTATATTTAATCATATATACTTACATACGTATTTAACTAATTTACGTAATTTTAACCCTATATTTTAAAATTAATAACATATGTATTGCCAATATTATATTTAATAATATACTTACATATGTATTTATTAACAAGTTTACATATTTAACTAATTTACAAAAAATACGTAATTCAAATTACATACCTTATCTGCATAAACAGGAAAAATGATATGAGATGGGTAGATTACATCCTTCAATTCTATCTGAAATTCTATCTGGAGTAGATGATGTGATTTTGTTGAATGAAGCGGAGGCTGCATATATAAAATTTGTAGTCACGACGACTAGACTCACCGCGACCACTGACTTAGCCGTGTCAGGGAACTGTCAGAAACCTTTACACCTTTTCACCGTTAGCCATGGGCGTCTATCGAGATTCGATGCATGAAAGGCGAGCTACTGGCGGTAAGAAGAAGGCCTGGAGGAAGAAGCGAAAGTATGAGCTCGGAAGACAACCTGCAAACACAAAACGGGTTCCAAATGCTAAAACAATTAAAAGGGTCAGGGTTCGAGGGGCAACCTGAAGTGGCGAGCCTTGAGGTTGGATACTGGGAACTATTCTTGGGAGGTGAAGCTCTCACCACGAAGACCAAGATTTTGGATGTGGTTTATAATGCCTCAAACAATGAGTTTGTCACGACCCAAACACGGGTTAAGGGTGCAATCGTACGACAGACACTCAAGCAGGAAATCAAGAAAGCAATATGAAAATGGAAAGTGCTAAAGAAGTTTAGTTGCCAAGAATAGTTTGTCTTCATAATGACTAATTAATTATAACATTAATACGGAATTAAATACATAATTAAGTCGCGTATTAATTGCTCTAGAAGTTACTATTCCTGGTTGGCAGGTCTGCCTGGCTGGCAGGCCGGACGCTTGAGCTCCCTCATGCAGGACTGGACAGCAGGCTCCTCGCTGGGCTGGAGGTATGCTCCTGGCTAGGCTGGAAGGCAGGCTCCTCGCTAGGCTGGAGTCAGGCTCCTGGCTGGGCTGGAAGTAGGCTCTTGACTAGGCTGGAAGGCAGGGTCCCCGTTGGACTGGAGGCATGCTCCTAGCTAGGCTGGAAGGCAGGCTACTGGCCGGGCTGGAAGGCAGGCTACTGGCCGGGCGGGAAAGCAAGCTCCCCGTTGGGCTGGACGGCAGGCTCCCTGCTGGACTGGAGGCAGGTTGCTGGTCAGGCTTGAGGTGGCCTGCTGGCTGGGCTGGAAGGCAGGCTATCTTGGGTTTCCGCTCATTGATGGGCTTGACAATTGGGCCGACTTGAGCTCTGGGTCACTGGGCCTGGTGGTCCAAGTTCGGGGCCTAAGCCGATTAGGCTCTGGGCCTAGTCCTGTAACCTCATCAGTTATAAATATAATGTAATAAGTTTTTTATAAAAGAAAAAAATAACAAAAAGAAAGTGAATTAGAAGTTATGAAGCAGAGATCATGATTCTGAATATTAGACTCCTAATACTCCACATAATAGGTCTTATGCTCATTAAAAGTTCATTAATGCTCATTCACTAGAAATCGTGATTTTCATGTCAATAGCGGAGGTTTGATGCTCAATTAAAATGTCATAATGTTCAACTAATAAAACTTACGATTTTCATATCAGTGTGCACTTTGTAAGTTATGTATACTCATTTGGTACTGATGTTATGCACATTTTTGAATTTTTATATCAATGCATATTTCAAAAGTATCATACTCCCTCCGTCCCTTAAAACTTTGTCATCTTTCCTTTTTGGGACGTCCCAAAAAACTTTGTCACTTTCCCTTTTAGTCAATTATTTTTTGGTTTCTGTTATTTCTCTCTCCTCTGCACAAACCTCAACCACACAGTTTTTACTTTATTATTCTCCGTGCCGGTCAACATTGACAAAGTTTTAAGGGACGGAGGTAGTATTACATTATACTCACATATCGAAATGAATATGAGTGTATTATAGATATATTTTAATAGGGTTTTTATAAAAAACAAGAAAATGAAAAAAGAATTAGAAGATATGAAGCAGGGATTATGATACTCATTGTTAGCCTCTCAAATACTCAATAAAATAGGTCCGATGCTAACTAAACGTACACTATTGCTCATTTAGCGGAAGTCGTGATTTTTCACTTAAATTACAAAAATGCCACTAATTTATTTTTGGCATGTATTAGTTATTGAGTTGTCTTCCTTGGTTGAGCCGGGTGTACTTACACCCGGATGTAGGAAGCCTATACAGTACAACCGGTTATACAATGGTCACCGTAGAACCGGTGACATTTTAGTAATTTAAACGAAATTCGTGTATTTGCTAAATGAGCATTTATACACTTTTAGTGAGCATCAAACATATTCTGTTGAGCATTAGAAGCCTAACAATGAGCATCATGATCTCTGCTTCATATCTTCTAATTCCCTTTTTTCTTTTATAAAAGATTATAAAATTATATCTATAATCAACTCTTATGAACTTCAATATGGGAATCTAGTGTAATATGGTACTTTTGAAATACGCATTAATATGACAATTTAAAAATGAGCAAAACATGAGTACCAATTGAGCATACGTAACATATAAAATGAGCATTGATATGAAAATCATAAGTTTTTTTGGTTGAGCATCAAGACATTTGCATTGAGTATCAAACATCCTCTATTGAGTATTACAAAAATACAATTGAGTATCATGGTCTGTGCTCCCGTATCTATAATCAAATCTTACGTGAATCTAATGTAATATGGTACTTTTCAAATATGCGTTTATAAAATATTTTAAAAAATCGAGCATAACATTAGTACCAAATGAGCACACATAACTTATCAAATGAGCAATGATATGAAAATCATAAGCTTTGTTGTTTGAGTATAAAGACAATTTTATTGAACATCAAACCCCCTCTATTGAGTATCAGAAGATGGAGTATTGAACAGTTCTGCTGGGTTGCTTAAAAAAAAATCAATCGTCAAAGATAGTCGACCCTTGGACCTTCAGATTAAGGAAAAACTACCACGAAGCTTTCTACAACTACTCTAAACCGTTCAATGGTTATCATTTTTGTATTTGTTATATCTATACATTAATGAGTCAGTCTTAAATGAAATATATATACTATATATAGTCAATATAGGTATTTTTTTTGAAAGGGCATGGGGTCCCGGGACCCGTGGGACCCTTAGTGGATCCGCCACTGGTTGTATACCAAAATTTCAGTAAGATAATGGTATTTACATTTTGTATAACGAAAGTTTTGATACGACAAAAGTATGAGAGAAAATATTCGGTATATCGTATCGAACCAATGTACATAGTATCAGAGCTCCCTTTAAACATTGTGTAATACGGAACGTTGTATAAATTGCCTTATTTTAAGTCCAAACTGTTCCGTATTACACAATGTTTAAAGGGAGCTCCGATTCCGTATTTTAAGTCCAAACTGTTCCGTATTCCATATCGAAGCTCCTTTTAAACATGTGTACCCAAAAGGTGTACGGTACACCACACATTTGCCTTAGTCATTCTGGCCCAAACTTATTAAATTAAATGAATCTGGAACGTTGTAGAACCAGGTGGAAGAATGATACAAAAGCAGCACGAATAATGGAAGACTTGAAAACGGTTCTGTGGAAACTCCTCGAAAGTTCTGGCTCCATCGTTTCTCTCGTATATAAACGCGTTCGTGCTCCTTTCAATGCTCATCGAAGTGAGAATCCAGCTAAATTGATCATCAAATTCGTACTCCAAATCAGTTCTTAACAGAAGTACCAATTCAAATCTGAGTCAATCATGTCTCTGATTCCAAGCATCTTCGGAGGTCGCCGGAGCCACGTTTCCGACCCATTCTCTCTTGATATTTGGGATCCTTTCCAAGGTTTCCCGTTTTCCAACGCCGTCGGCTCTGCACGCGAAACATCGGCGTTCGCGAACGCGAAGATCGACTGGAAAGAGACGCCGCAGGCTCACGTGTTCAAGGCGGATCTACCGGGGCTGAAGAAGGAGGAGGTGAAGGTGGAGGTGGAGGAAGGGAAGGTGCTGCAGATCAGTGGGGAAAGGAGCAGGGAGCAGGAGGAGAAGAACGACCAGTGGCACCGCGTAGAGCGGAGCAGCGGCAAATTCCTTCGGAGGTTCCGGCTGCCGGAGAATGCCAAACTCGATCAGGTTAAGGCGTCAATGGAGAATGGTGTGCTCACTGTAACTGTACCCAAAGAGGAAGTGAAGAAACCTGAGATCAAATCTATTGAAATCTCCGGTTAAACAGGGCAATGAAATAATTAAGCTTATCCTTTCTGTGATCTGTTTTGCCTAAGGAATGTGTTGTCATTAATTAAGATATTGTGTGTCAAGTGTTCGAAAAGTTCTTGAAATGCCATTATATTTCTTGTACAACGTATTGTGTTGACATTTTATGCAAGTGTTGCATATTTCGTGAAAAGGAGTGTTAAATCTTGTCAATAAGGTTTTTTTTTAATGTTTTGAACAATGTATAGAAATATATGACTCATAGTTCACTTCATAAGTTATTAATTTAATGATTGGGAAAAGTATAAAAATCATTCTATAACAGGGAAGTATACTTCTGAATGGTTGAAAATATAAAAATACTGTTTGACACCACAAATGGTTGAAGTTCTTGAAACTTTAAAAATTATGATTGGTTGAATTGAAAGAAAAAATTATTTTTTATTCAATTGGTTAAATTGGTTAAAAAATCATTCTATTCAATTGGTTGAATTGAAAGAAAAAATTATTACTCCGTATTACAAATTATTTTTTATTAATAAAAAAAATTAAATAAAATTATACTCTCAGAAAGTAAAGTACTTAAAATGACTCTTTATATTAACATTTAAATCAACACCTAAGTAATTTTTATTTTATTTATTTTGATTTTTATAATCTCTTTATTGTAAACTCATGGACAAAAACAAGACTAATATTATTATTGAATCTCTTTATTATTGAATCTCTTTCTTGTTCACATTCAGAGTAGATCTTATTTTTATCCATTAGAAATTCATTAGCATCATTTTTTCATTATTATATAATTTAGAGCGCGTTTGGTAATATGAAATTTGGTTGAATCGGTTGATTCCACTTAAATTTATGAATTTCTGGTTGCATTACTCGATGAGTTGATTTTGCTTATTTATTAAAAAATATACTCCCTCCGTTCCTAAAAATTCTTCCCGGTTTGACTTGACACGCTTATTAAGAAAGTGGAATAAAGTGGAAATGTATGGTTGTGATTGTGTAAGAAAAAGGTAAAATGAATGTGAGCCACACAAATGTCCAAAATGGGAAAGTGAGAAGTATTTTTGGGAACAACCCAAAAAGGAAAGTGGGAAGTATTTTTGGGAACGGAGGGAGTATTTAAAATATTTTTTATTAATAAAATATAGAAAAAATTATATAAAATAGCTAAAATACAGCTACAAAAGTATCTTCAATTTCACCTTTTCTTATTATTACATAATTCAGCGCGCGAAGTTGAAAGTTATGTGTTTGACGAAATAGTTAACTAAGACTGATAAACCAAAAAATAGGGTCAACAAACGAAAACATAGTGCCAGTGTGGTAATATCGAAATTGGTTGCATTGATTGATTTTGTTGAAATATATGAAAGTCTGGCTGAAATGGATGAGTTGGTTGATTCTGGTGATATATGAAAAAAATTGTATCTAAACTCTAAAGTAAAAATTATATGAAAAAATAGTTAAAATAATCATCTACAACAACTTCAGTTAATACAGTAAGAAAATTCAGCCAATAAAGTAACGAAATTAACTTCAACCTTACTTTTTATTATTACACTATTCAACGCGTGAAATAGGAAATTGCATGTTTGATGAAAAATTTAGCTCATAAACTTGATAAGTCGAAAAAATGATCACCAATGGGCTCTTAATCTAAAAATTATTATGCAATTGTCATTTTGTCTTTGGGAACGAAGAAGTACTATGTTGAATTTTCAAGCATATGAAAGCTTAGCTAGAGTTTACGATTGCTTCTACTTTTAAAAAGTGATTTTTTAAAGTGATTTTGGAGAAGGTGCTTAAAGGAAAAGTTCATAGTGTTTAAGAAAAAGTGTTTTTGAAAAAGTAAAAGTTGATAATCTTTAAGAAAAAAGTGCTTCTGAAAAAATAAAAGTTGATAGTGTCTAATAAAATAAATGTTTTTTGTGTAATAGAAACTTTGAAAAGCAGTTTAAAACATTACTCAATCTGCTTTCAACTTTTAGTTTTTAAGTGCTTAATTTAAATAGAAATTGTCACTTGAAAACATTCGTTTCAACTTTTTCATGCCAAAAGCTAAAAAACAATTTTTTAATTTTTTCCTGAGGGTTTACCAACATTCATGAAGAAACATAATTCCTCCGTTCCGTAAACAACTTCACAGTTGGACTTCACAGCTATTAAAAAATAAATTTACTAGAAGTAAGTCTTATTGTTTTGACACTGTTTGGACAATGTTTGACAGTGTTGACATTATTTGGGTGTAGAGAATTTGAAAAAGAAAATAGGAAAAAAGTATGAAGTTAAGTTCACCACTACCCAACCTAAAATTGTTTGGTAAGTTTTATATGTGGCCAGCAGCCCAGCCTTATGTTAGGCTTTGGCTATACTTTCCCGAATCGGTGGAGAGAGACTGACCTTAGCGGTCAACTAAACATATCTGATATCCCATGGAGTTTGTTGCTCATGTTCTCATATATCCCTACCCTCTTCAAGGCCATGTCAACTCTATGCTCAAATTTGCACAGCTCCTAGATCTTTCCAATTTCCATGTCACTTTCTTAGCCACCCCCAATATCGACGCCCGCCTTCGAGCTCACACCGACATAGAATCCGACGGTCGGTTCAGCCACCGGTTCAGGATTCAGCGTTTCCCTGCCGGAATCTATGAAGGTAACATACATTTTTGAAGTTCTGTCAGTTAATTTTTCATGTGTTTTAATTAATTAATTAATCAATAGGTGATTGATGGATGCTTAATTAATAGGTAGACCCGATACTAGAGAAGGGTTTATGGGGCTAATCGATTCCTTGCAAACAATCGGGAAGCCTTTTCTGACGGAACTTGTAAGGCAGAAGGGCGATTCCTGGCCGCCGTTTACATGTTTTGTTTCGGATTTGCCGCTCGGCATGGCGGTGGAGGTCGGTGCCGGAGTCGATTTGCCGGTTTACTATTTCCGTACGGCCAGCGCAGCTTCCTTTTGGATTTACTTATCCTGGCCAGATCTCCTTGAAGCCGGGGAGTTTCCATTCAAAGGTTTGCTTTAAACATTCTTGAAGAAAAGAGCTTGGTTAGTAGAATGGCAATGCACTTTATTGATTATTTTCAAACACCATCGGAAAAAGGTTGTTTTTACTTGAACGGTAATTCGTCCCAGACCAGACTTGGATAATTATAAAAATACAAAGAAACCAGACCAGCAAATTATAGTCCAAGTAAAAACATTCTAAGTGTACGGATATTGGTTTGCATGTTGTTTTGCCGAAGCATCAAAATTTGGTTGCACGGAAACCGGTGTCCATGCACAAACATTAGTTATTGGAACATAAACAATTTGTACATATTTTGTTTGTGCTTAACAATTTTGTCTAGACACACAGACACTATAAAAAACAAGTGTCTACATATAGGCATTTTATCGAAGACTTCCCAACAACTCTCGGGCAATTCCAAACTTCATTTTTCTAATCCTATAAGATGATAAAAATAATGATAGATGTGAACAATGGTGAATTCAAAAAAATAGAGTCATGAAGTCCCTTATTATAACAAGTAAAATATTAAAGAAGCTATTCATTTAATACTGAGAAATTATTTGAATTTACCTCGGAACTATTTCTGGTATTCCCAATTTCTTTAAATTTTGATTTGCTATTGGAATATAACTTCATCCTAAATTGTAAAATATTGAAAGAAACATTCTTATATATCATAGATTTAATAATTTAATCTTAACATTAAAACAAATTTAAATGATTGATCACAAAAATTGAATTATTTAAAACTTAAATAGCCGGAAGTTTAATTATTAAGACTTAAATAAATAATTCAAAACTTAAGTTTTAAATAAATGATCAAATTTTTTTTTTTGACTTAAACCAATTCTATTTAAATGATCAATTAAGTCTTAAGTTTTAATTATTCAAAAAAATGAATTAAGTTTTATCAATTTTTTTGATAAAAACTTGATCATTGATTAAATTTATTGAATTTAAATTTAAATTTATTGAATTTAAATTTATCAATAAAACTTAATCAATGATTAAGTTTTATCAAAAAAATTGATTTATCAATGATCAAACTTATTAAATGATTAAAACTTAAATGATCAACTTTTTTTTTGTCAAATAACCAATTTATTATTAAAAGATTAAATCATTCAAAACAAAATGAATGACGCAGTGTTTTTTTGAATAATTCAAAAAAATTGAATTATTTAAAACTTAAATGATTAAAACTTAATTGAATTATTCAAAAAAATTGAATTATTTCAAAAAAATTATTTAAATTTTTTCAAAAAAATTGAATTTTGACAATTACTAGTCACAATCTTCTCATTGCCTTTGGCAATCCAGACAAAGTATGGTGAAGTAAGCACAGAAACATAGAGTGGCATCGGAGGAACGGCCACCCCTTTTCGTTTGAGCCCATGACACAATGTGAGATACAATGTTTAGAGTGGCATCAGAGGAACGGCCACCCCTTTGTTCTTGTTGTTTTTTCTCCACAATGTGAGATGCAATGTTTAGATATAGACATTGTTTATAAAATTAACTATAAACATAGAATAAGTGATAGACATTGTTTATCACTTTTATGGTCATTATACATGCATATTGTTGGATTGGAGATCTTATTATAAACTGAGGCTTTCAGTTTGACATTGCCACCATCAATCGTGAATTGTTGTTAATATATCAATATTATAATGCAATGCAGAAACCGAAATGGACTCACCTATCACAAAGGTGAAGGGCATGGAAGATTTTCTGAGAGCAAGGGACCTTCCACGATTTTTCCAGCAAGATAGCATTCTTAGTTTTATTTCTACTGAAACTAGGAGTGCAGTTCAAGCTCGAGCAGTCATACTCAACACTTCCGAACAACTTGAAGGACCAATACTCTCCCAAATCAGAACAAAGTTTCCAACAGTGTACTCAATTGGACCTATCAATGCCCATCTCAATGCTAAACTACTATCCAAACCCGCTTCCTCCAATAGTCTTTGGCAAGAAGATCAAACCTGTTTGGCTTGGCTCGACTCGCAAGAACCCAAATCCGTGATCTACGTGAGCTTCGGCAGCATCGCTGTGATCACAAAGCAACAATTGATGGAGTTTTGGTATGGTCTAGTCAATAGTGGCCAAAAGTTCTTATGGGTGGTGAGATCTGATTCGATTACCGAAAAATATGGGGAAGGTCCGATTCCTCCCGAGCTAGAAGAGGGAACAAAAGCAAACGGGTACATGGTAAGTTGGGCACCTCAAGAGTTGGTCTTGGACCATCCTGCCATTGGGGGATTTTTAACCCATTCTGGATGGAACTCA